GCCCACATGTGGGCATCACATGGCAGGACAGCCTCAAACAAAGAAATGCTCTCCCAAGCAAACAGCGTGTTTGCACTTCTGCCTCAGCAACCCTAGCTCAGTCATGTCCACAGAATGAAACATGGCAGGACTCTCCAGGATGTGCTCTACAGAGAGCTGGCTTCAGGCACTAGGCCTGTTGGCAGACCAACTCTGTGTTACAAAGATGTCTGCAAATGTGACATGAAGGCTGGCAACTTCAACCGTACCATATGGGAATCCCTTGCAGACGACTGCAGAGCCTGGTTGTGTATCCACAGCAGTGACCAGGGGAGAAATGACCACTGGGAGAAGTGCAGAGAGAAGAAATGCCATGATGTTTCTGTAACAGCGGAAACGGATGCCTTCATCTGCCCCAGCTGCAATAAAATATGTCTCTCCTGTGCTTGTCTCTACAGCCACTAACGGCACTGTATCTCTGTTATTATTTAACTTCACCCCTGAAGGTGCACTCTTTCATTGTCACTCAAGACAGATAGATGCCAATATCAACAACTTTCCACTGACTCCTTTTGCTCTGAAGGAGCAAGCAGTGGGTCTTAATCTCCTGTCTTAGTGTTGTGGATTGGTGCTTAAGATAAGAGAGACATGATTCCTTTCACTGCTCTTTAGAAAACATCTCCCTGTATTCCTCCTTTCACCTTAAGAAATAATGATAATATAGGGCAAAATAATAATAAACGTTAATAATACTGTATTACTATTATTGCTAGCAACTAGTAACAATGAAATTTAACATTATGCCTAATATTATTAAGTGCCATGATTAATTCTTGTACATTTATTAATTATAAAATATAAAATATTTTAATTATTAATCAACAATAATTGATAACCTGTGAGTGTCAAATCCTTATCATTGATATTTCACTCTTCTTCCACACAGCACTTTCAATCTGCTTGCAGAATTAGATGTGAATTGCCATTTTCTATTTGAGGCCTTGAAGTCATGTCTTCCTTTTCCTGCAGAGCAGTGTCCAGCTCTCCAGAACTTTGGTTGTGTGGTTTTCCGCTTGAGTCATGTGAGCCTGAGGCCCACCAAGGGTACTTCAGGCAGCTCCTGATACAGGGAAATTGAAAAAGCTGATAAATGCATTGAGGACATCTGAAAAGGAATGTTAACTTGCTGAACAACTTTGAAAAGTGCTGTCAGAATTAAACCACTTCATCAAGGAAGAGCCTGGACACTGAAATCCAGCGCCAAAGGCCTTCTGCAGTTCACTCTCTGCGAGAAGCCAAGTTACAGGGAACCAGGCAGAGGGCCTTCTCGGTGGTGGCACCCGCCCTGTGGAACACCCTCCCAGCAGATGTCAAAGAGAAAAACAACTACCAGACTTTTAGAAGACATCTGAAGGCATCCCTCTTTAGGGAAGCTTTTAATGTTTGACAGACTATTGTATTTTAATATTTTGTTGGAAGCCACCCAGAGTGGCTGGGGAAACCCAGCTAGATGGGTGGGGTATAAATAAAAAGTTGTTGTTGTTGTTGTTGTTGGCTTGAAGTACTAACTTAAGAAGGGACGCGGGTGGCGCTGTGGGTAAAAGCCTCAGCGCCTAGGGCTTGCCGATCGAAAGGTCGGCGGTTCGAATCCCCGCGGCGGGGTGCGCTCCCGTTGTTCGGTCCCAGCGCCTGCCAACCTAGCAGTTCGAAAGCACCCCCGGGTGCAAGTAGATAAATAGGGACCGCTTACTGGCGGGAAGGTAAACGGCGTTTCCGTGTGCGGCTCTGGCTCGCCAGATGCAGCTTCGTCACGCTGGCCACGTGACCCGGAAGTGTCTCCAGACAGCGCTGGCCCCCGGCCTCTTGAGTGAGATGGGCGCACAACCCTAGAGTCTGTCAAGACTGGCCCGTACAGGCAGGGGTACCTTTACCTTTTACTAACTTAAGAAGTACAGATTCAGGAATATGCAAATGTCTGTGACAATTAAGACCCATTCTATTCAGGAACGCATTTCACTCATTTTGTTTTGCTATTAAGGTGTTGGATTAACCAGTATGTAAACCCCAGCAAAAATAATAATGCAAAGTCTTACTTCTTACTGAGTGCCAATTAACCAGGCAGGAAAATTTGCTATGGGAGGTGGAGTGGGGTAGTGTAACTGGTAGTAGTGTCAAAGCTGCTTCCTTCATAGACCAAGTAGAAGTTTTGGAGGAAGGGATTGAGTCAGGATCATGTCCTGGAGGGAAAGCCCTTCTCTCTCTGCACTGTGGTCCCAGTCCTGATCATTGCTTGTTCTCTTCAGCTGGTTTAGTGATACTTGGTTTGGAAATGAAGTATAAGGAAGTAGTTGCTATGTGCACTGAACTATAGAAGTTTGTAAATTTGAAGAATTTGAATCCCTAAATTGTCAAAAGCTTTCAGAATGCTGATGGCAGCTGAGCTGAACGGGGTGGGGAGGAGTAGAGGTATAAAGAAACAAAAATGAAGAAGAAAGACTGAACAAAGGCCAAACTTCATGTGATGTTAACCCAAAGGTTTGCCCTTGATTTTTCCGGCAGAAATAGCCAGTGCACCCCAGTATGAATTGGGACCCTGTTGCTATTGAGCAGCATCAAACTGGTGGTTGTGAAACCAACTCATAACATTTATTTGATACTTTAGAATACTCAAAGCAGTTCACACACATTACCTTAGTAAACCTTACTAGCAACCATGCAAAGCAGATCACTATTATTCTTCCTAAACTGCAGATAGGAAGAGGAGGCTGAAGGGAACTGAAACACAATAGGTTGCTGGGGTGTCACACAGTGTGTGTGCGCGCGTGCACAAACGTGTGTGCGTTTGTTTGTGTGTGTGTGTGTGTGTGTGTGTGTGAGAGAGAGAGAGAGAGAGAGAGAGAGAGAGAGAGTGAGAGTGAGTGAGAGTTAGTTAGTTAGTTAGTTAGTTAGTTAGTTAGTTCATGGTAGGTTGTCCTGGTATCAATCTCAGCCGCTGTAGAGCCTCTACTCACAACAGACCCAGGCATTGGCTAGACACCTTCATTTACTATCCCAGTAATTGAAAGAAGGCTCTCCTGTGGGAGAATCTGCAGCCAAAACCACAGATGCATGATTTCTAGAGAGCCATAAACAGGACTATATGATGTCACAACCTCTAAACTTTTGTGGTAGGAAGGAGAACAATAGAAAACTTCATCTTCCTGTCACTGCACATTCTTCTTACCTATGATGGGATAAAGTTGTCTGTGGTCTCCTCAAAGAAGCACACATCATTTTGAATTGAACTATAGACTTCTGTAACTTTTAAGGATTATTGCCAGCCTGATTTTCATCACTGTATCTCTTTGAATCCTGGCAAGTATTTTATTGTGAGTAAATCTTGTTTCTTGTTTCTTTAAACAGTCTGAGAGGGAAACATAAAAGGGAGATGACCCAAGTCTGCCAAAGCATCATTGGATATCATAATTCTTCTAGGTTAAACAACCTTGTCTCTAAAAGCTTCTAAAGATAAGCTGTGCAGGGATGGGATTTTTAATTCTGCTGAAATAGGTATTTGCATTCTTACACAAGTAAGAAGATGAAGGATAATTACTGTAATAAATAAAATATCCTCTCCTACTCATCTAAAACCATCCAACATCTGCAACCTGTAGGGGAGGTGAAGGTGACTTGATGGAAAGGAAGCCAGGACTCCTGTTCTGCAACATGGTGTGTAGCACTTTCTCTGCCTGCGCTCATCTATAAGCTGTGCCTGCCAAAACTCTCTTGCACAGCCATGGTGCTATAGAATAAAGTAAACAGGTCACTGAGGTCTGGAAGATGCAGAACCCTTTGTCCTACTGTGCATATGGAGATTCTGCCGTCATGCAGGCCTTTGCCTCCTGAGAGAAAATGTATTGGACTGGTTAGGGGAGGGGTGTGTGTGCAGAAATAAGGTTAGCGAGAGAGCGGTACCCTGTTTCCCAAAGATGCTGCTCTTGCTGGATTTCCTTAGAAAGACCAAGGCCAGGATTCTGCGGATAATTCATTCCCTAAATAAATTACATCTGCAGGATCATGGTATGTGAACTTGGGTGGATGACTTCTCTGTTCCTGCCATCTGGGAGGAGTGTCCACAGTTCAGATGTGGAGATTCGTGCACAGAACAGTCCAATATTAAATTCTAGCTATTTTCAGTGAAAAGGATCTCAGGCAGTGAGGCTGGGAAATACCTTTTCTAGTGATGTTTGAAAGCTGAGCTAGAAGATCTGAAACAGCATAAGGAAGCCTCATATTTAGAGGAATCAAGAAGGCTTGTAGACGAAATCATAGAATTGTAGAGTTGGAAAGAACCCACACAGATGCCAACTCCACCTGCTGTTTATATGGGGAAATCCAGCCAGAAAGCTTTCCCTGACCATGAGAGTGTCCTATGCTTACTCTGCATCTGTTTACCCAGCGGGGTGTTCCTGCCCCACCCCTGCCATTCAGATACAGCACAAACACTATTTCACAGTGAGCTACTGGTTGTCAATATTCTTTGTCTTCTCCGTGAGATTCTTTATTCTAAGGACCTGATTTGATGATTGCCATGTAACAATTCATTTACTAGGAATATGTGATACAGTCACATTATGCAACATTTCAAATAAACACCTCTCTGTATGACAAATGAGTTTTCAGGTGAGTATCCTTAACCTTCAGTAGGACACAATTTCTGCAGAGGGAAGGAGCAAATCACAGGAATGCATTACTCACTGCTAAGGCATTGCTCTACAAGAAAAGGGCATTAGATTTTTTTACAATAATTTGTTTTGGCTTTTTTTCTTTAAACAAAAGAAACATACAGAATTGTCAAGTATTTAGACAATAAAAGACAAAGACCACAGATTTAAAAAATCAAGTGTGTGTTCTTGCAGGGTAGATAAATCAGATGGGCAAAGACTTTTATTGGCAGCCAATCTTTGCCACTGCTGGAGGAGGAAGCCAGTGAACGCATTTCTTCCAATACTTGGACCCTGCTCCACCTGAAAACTGGTACAGAGAGACAATGATTTGCTTATACCTGAAGCTGAATGAATAATTACAATTGTTGTTTTCCCATTTAAATTTTGAAAGAAACACATCAGATTTAAATTCAAATTAAAAATATGAATGTGAAATTCTCCGTTCAGAATTCAAGATCTTACCTATTGGCAGCCTGGGACTGTTTTGGTATTGGCAGGCGCTGGGTATGAATTTTCAAAAACTGAACAATGCCAACAACTGTAAAATGTTAAATACCATTGAATACTATCAGTCATCTAATGCCAGACATGGAATACCATCACATATAGCAAGCAAGTTCCCTCTTGCCCCCCTCTGGGCATGTGACCCCTCCAAATCCCAGGCACATGCAGGAACTTCTCTGACTTTCACCACAGGGATGCTTTGATCCAATTCCAGGGTCCACCAGAGTAAAGGATGACCAAGCACGTCTGAAGGAGCCTCACAAACATTTATGGGCTAACTTTAACGCAAGAGCCTTGTGCTTTTTGATGACAATAGACTGTTGAGCATTTGAAGTTCAGTTAGATCACTGGCCCATCTGTTGAAATGGGTCTCAAGGTCTGAGACTTTCCAAACCCTGGCACTTGAAATCCTTTTAACCAGAGGTACCAGAAACTGAGACCTAGGGCCTTCTGGATTCAAAATATTACCTGTCCCATTCCCCATGTTGAGGAAATTGGTTCTCTTCGTAGGAATGTTGACGGATGAACCGTAGGATCACTTTTGCATGCATATCTCAGTTTTTCTCCAAAGAAATTGTATCATCTCACATTTGGCTCCTCTCTGGGGAGGTTGAGCATAAGCAAAAGGCATTGACAAATCTTGCTCTCAGATGCATAGATGATAAAACCAACATTTAAGCAGCCAGTGCCTTTTCCCACTTTGGTGAAGGGCTCTGAGGCAACTCAAGCAATCTTTGCCCACAGGTCATTCAAAACCCCTGGTATACCCCTGGATAATACAACTTCATTTCACATAGGATACCAAATGGCACAAAAATCTGTCTCGGATCAGATGCTGCACTATTTTTGATGCCCTCTTCTTATCCAATAGCGCCTCTCTGTGGTTGGTTACAGTTTTGCTCCCTTTCCCCCTTTCAGATCATTTTAACAGATAAAAACAAAGCCACAGGCTCATGCATCAGACTTCTTGATTCAGAACAAGAGGGGAATTGGCATTTTTAAGAGAGAGAAGTTAGTGTATTCTGTTATACAAGTGGGGTGCAAGGAGACAACCTGTTCCTTTATTCTTAGACCCATGCTAAGCATTGGTAGCACATAGAACATTCTAGGCCTCGCATGTGTATCTCAGTAACCCTTACTACAGTTTTGCAAGGTGGAGAGGCAGGCTAACACCATTATTTGAATGTGGATCCTTATGCAATCAAAATGGGCAAAATCCCCAAGGAGATCCACAGCATCAGCATACTCAGGGGAAATTCATTGTGCATGCTCAGTGGGCATGAAATGCTGGCAGTTAGAATGGTGGAGGAGGAGGAGGATGGAATGGAGTATTTGAGAAAAGGGTTTATCTTGTTGGCTGGAATCCTGAACAGGATTGCTGCTACAGGGGCAACACAAAGAAAAAAGAAAAAAGAGACCAGCTTTCTATGATAATCTCTCTACTCAAATTAATAATGTTTGTTCTGGGGACTTCTTGCTTTATAAATGAGAAAGGACATTAATTCAAAGTTAGGTGGTCTTAATGAGAGATGGAAAGGCAGTTACTCCTACTCTCCCCTGACCACTTGGGAATATATTAATCACTGTTCCATCTATTAACCCTGAGTAATAACATCATGGAATAACTAAATCTGTTCTTGTTCATGGGGCAGTACTCAAGCATCACCCAGAAACTGACACACAGCCCCTTTGTAGTCTTCTGATTAAAAAGAGCTCACAGTTGTTCTCACAAAGAATGAGGAGATTGATCGAGGTGGTAGAATTCTGGATTGCATTATTTCAGACTACAGTTGGGGTGTGTGCATGACATTTTTTTATTTTAAAAAAACCTAATCCTCACATTAAAAAACTCTTTGCATGCAGGAAGTTGGCACCTTAAGGAAACGGCTGTACTAAGAGTGGTTTTGTTTCAACACAGATGAGCATTGTAAAACATGATCCCCCCTCCTGAGGCCTGAGGTGGTACATTCCAGAATCTCCCACCTCCTCAGTCTACTGCATCATTCCGTTTAGTGGGTAGAATGGCTCTTACACATAAAATGCATGGATGATGACTATCTGTGCTGCAGAGGTAGACCTGGATGTTGCCTGACAGTGCTCAGATGACCCCCACTGGGTGCATCTGATTCAAACAATTATCTCCATCTTCATCTAGGGCCACTGTCACCACCAAGATTCTGCTGTCCTCTCAACCTTGAGATTCATTTTATATGTACAACTCTGCAAAGTCCCCTTAGAAACCTGCGACAGTTCTGCATACTGAAGCTCACAGGCAGAAATCTTTCAGGCATTGACTTTATGTGCAGCCTGGATGTGAGTTCACCACCACAAGCAAAAAATGCCTGGTTTGTGTGCTATGAAGTCTGCTGGAGATAATCCACACAACCAATTGCTCCACACTTTCATAGATTCATGCTTTTGGTTAAATGGATCATCCAAACAATGCTGGAGCATTCTTTTCTCCCCAAAGTTAGCCTGCATTGTGAATGCAGTTCTACACAAGTAAGAACAGCATCTGAAAAACCCCGCTCATGCTGTCGCTTATCACACCAGTTGTCGCTTATCACATTTTGAAGTGCAGTAAGACACATTATCATCTAAAGAGCACCCACCTCCATAAGACAATTACGTTTAGAGACTGAAGCTGCCTGACTGCCCTGCACACAACCAAAATTAAAACTGACCCTTGGCATTCAATGTGAATTCCAGCTGCCTGCTCCCCAAAGCAGGCAAGTGGTCTGGTCATTCTATGTGAATAGATAGAATTTCATCACCGAGTGACGATGTTTCGCTTTCCAGCCAAGCCACGTTCTGGCCCTGCTTCGCCAGAGGGTCAGATAATGGACAGTGAGCTCCCCTCAAGCCATGGGCGGACTATTATGCTTGCTTGTGAATTAAAGTGAAGAACGTATTTCGTTTGCTTTGTGGCGAAGGAAGTTGACAACCCCATTGCAGCGTTTTTATTTTATTTTATTCCGGAATTGCACGGAGTGAAACAAAAAAGCAGCCGCCCTCTTATTTGACAGGAGCAGATACATGGGCGTAGTCAGGAGGAGGCAGGCCTAGATTAAGCAAATAAATAAAACAATACTTAACTAACCAGTTGCATTGCAGATAACTTGGTTCTGCCTCCCCCTAAAGCCTGCCACCCCAAAAATAAATCCTGGCTACGCCCCGGAGCAGATAACAGATCAGAAAATGAAGATTATACTTTTGAGTCGCTGCACCATTGTTATCCCAAATAAAATAGTTGGATTCAGACATAGCACGTCCCGGGCGCTTAGAAACTTCGGACACCAACTTCGGCAGTGCTGAAATAAATAAAATAACAAACTCTTTCTATCCATCCCCTGTGATCAACATTTTAAATCCTAAAGGTACATCTATGCCCGCTCTGGATTTCCAGCGGGGGTGGAGAGTCAACGGTGCAGAAATGAAGGGCTCTAGTGACCCCTTGTGGCGAAAGCGTGTCAGTAAAAGAGAGAGACTCGTCCGGGGCCTGACGCCTGTTCCTCCCCCGCTGCTCCCCCGCCTCCTCCTCGCCCGATTGTAAGCGATTAAAGCTCGCCTAGCTAGCTTTATTAATAACAGCGTTTATAATCGAAGAAGGCCTCCAAGAGGAAGAGAGGGGGGGAGGGAGGGAGGGAGGGAAGGAGAGAAATAAAGCAATAAAACTAAATTGTTTTCTTTTGATGGGGGAGATGAGAGAGAGTTTATTTGCAGATGCTGGGATAAAGCGAGTTGATTTATCGACAGAGCAAGAGTGTCGCTCTCAGGACGCCACAAGTACATATTTCCTGAAATATTGCTCAATACAATATCTAATACACACCAACACTTCACGAGTATCTGCTGCTACATCGCTCCGCGCGCGCGCTTCTTGAGCTGGGCCCCGCGCAGGAAGTTCGGGGTGGCGGGTGGAGGCTGGAGCGGGGGGGGGGGGTCGGGTGAGGTCTCCAACCTGCTGCCACCAATCGAGAGTTTGCTTTCCTCCCCTCCTTTCTGCCTTCTCCTCTCCACCTCCTCCAAGTAATCGCACGGTGATCGGTCCTTCATAAATACAATTGAGAATTGTCTTTATACTTTGTAAATATTGGATTAGCTTCTCATTGACCAGGCCTCTTGAAAAGACCCTTTAAAAAAATCCCACGCCAGGTCTAAACTAAGCCTTACAGTCAATAGGTAATGAAAGTAGGTTATTTCCTGAGCTTAAAGGGGTTTTTCAGCTCATTATCAGGTTAGCTGATTCTCCCTAAATAGCTACTCCAGTGACGGGATGCGGGAGAGAAAGCGATGAGGCGGGGGGGGGGGAGTAGAAGAAAACGGCTCAGAGAGGAGGCGGCTTCGGTAGGAGAGGCGCTCCAGTGCTCAGGAAGACGCGCGCGCAGAGACCTGCAGCTCCAGGAACAATCCATCAGTTTTCAAATGCACGGAACATTTTTTCATTGTCTTCTTTCTCTCCCTTCCCCCGCTGTAGTTCTTTCAAATTGCCTCCTGCCATTGTCTTCAAAAACCTATTGAGTAACAGCGACCGCTTAACCAATGAACACAAAGATTTCGCTCCGGCGTTTCTATTGAAATACCGAAAAATGTGCTTTCCTTCGAGGAGGCTGGGCTGGTGGGGCCCGATCGAGCCACGAAAACACACAGCCCCTTTTGAGGAACCGAGGAGGCGGGAAAGGGGCTTGTTTTGGTTTCGCAAACTGGCGTCCTTTGGAATGCGAGTCAATCGTTATTGTCAATATGGCATTACTTGTTGTTCGGTACCGTGGCTTTCAGTGGGAAAGTTAAGCAAGCGCTTAATCACCCCAGTTTAAGCAGTATTCGCACTCCGAGCCTAGTCAGATTTACCAGGAAACAAGGCCTGTTGGTCTCCATGGGATTTACTTCCCAACAGATATGGTTGGATTGCCACCGTCAAACGGCGTAACTATGCGTGCTGCGTCCTGGCCGTTGGTGACTCGGAAGAAACTGACTGGCTAAGGAAGAACTGCAGGTTTGGAATAAAAGCGTATCATCAGTGATTTTTGAGAACCACACCCCGGTATACTAAGGAGGAGGGTACTAAACCAGAAACGCCCTGGCTTCCCTAGATAGACAGAAAGACAGATGTTGGAATAACATAGTAAGAGGTACAACCCCAGATGTACCGATTTTTCGCAATGGCCTGCTATATTTCCCTAAGAGCTGTGATTAAAAAGGCACGACTCAAGCACAAAATTAAGCACCTTTAAATCTTATCGATTTCCAAAGGGCAGATATAAGCAAATGCTTAACTTTCCCCGTGAAATCAGTGGGACTTACAAGCGCTTAAATTTGCCTGGATGATGTCCACCAGTCGTCCTCCAGAGAACTTCCTGTGGTCATTCTAGACAGCATGGGGCTGGTTTTCGATCTCTCTGGAGGAGGGCAGAGAACCACACACATATATCATCAGCCAGCAGCAACCCTATCCAGTTGTGATCTGAGGAGTCTCTGCATAACATCACATCTCCTCGTGAATGAGATTCCTTGTTTTCTCGGCCCAGCTCAGCGAGCTGAACAGCCAGCTAAACAGTTAGACAGGCAGCCAGAGGAACTACAATTAGGATGGACAGGGTGGGGGGGGAATAGGGAGGCATAAAACCAACTTTTTTTTAAAAAAGTAATTTTATGGCTGAGTTTTTGTTTTAACCCCTGTGTAGATACAAGAACCTAATTGTCTGTGAAACTAGAGGCATATTTTCAGTAGACTCTAGAGAAAAAAAGAGGCCATGTTTGCTTTCAAGAAGAGGGAGGGAAAGGACTCTTCTTCTTCTTCGAATAGATATAGCACGGATTTTTAATTCGTCTTCCTTTCACAGACAACAATACCGGTTTTGAAAGGCGGATACAATTTGGGTTTTGTGAAGGTCCCTTTCTGCCCCCTCCCGGCCCAGCTGTCCATATGGAATACGGCATGTGCAACGTGGCTCACAATGGCACCAACTGACAGGCGGAACAAAACCCGAGGTAGTTCCCCCTGACTCGGGGATGCTCTGCTCATTCCAGATACGCCAATTGATGAATTGCATTTAAACACACGCACACACCCCCACACCCCGAGAAGAACAAGGGAAAGAAGAAGAGAGAGGGAAGGGAAAGCGTTCTCCCCCCCCCCTCTCTGTCCCTTCCGTGGCTTTCTTTTCTTTCCCCCACCCCAACTTAATATGCACGCCTCTAACATCCTCAACTCCCAGCCTCCCTTATTGTGCCGTTTTGTGATGGGTACTGTATATTGTGCAAAGATAGACTACCCCAAACTCCCGCGCCACCACCGGCGTGTGAAATGGAAGGCCACTGGGGGTTAGGGCCACACAAGACTTCGCCAGCTTGATAGACTTAGTAGAGACCGGAGAGACAGCAGCTCCCCGTACTCCACACGCACGCGCGCGCGCGCACAAACACAACGCCCCTGCTCTGGATGGAAGGTTTGCTTTTGAAAAGAGGGGAAAAGAGAGCATTTCACTGGGACGGTGCGCTTGAATGTGAACCACGATAGATCAGCTCTAAATATTGGGTTTCTGGGAGTCCAGTCTGAAATCGGGGCTTGAAGCAGGCATGCAACTTGGTGCAAGCAAGTCGGACAGAAGGAGCAGGTGAGCTCCTATAAAGACCCTCCCTAGCAGGGGAAAAGGCTCCTTCCTCCCCCCCCACCCCGAAAAGCAAACTCAGCTTCGAGGGACAAGCTGCCAGCCCACCGGAGGCAGTTTCGACGGCCCCAATCTCAAATGGGCTGCCCCACAGAGAAGGCTGCAGCTGGTCCACGGCCGGACTGCTCTTTTGCGAGAGACTAGCAGAGAAGCCACCCCAGAAAAGGAGGCAGATTTTCTGCTTTGGCCTCAGAGTTGGCGGCGGGCCCTCGAGTGCAGCAGTCGAAGGCTCAATCCCCAGCCTCTCCGAGAGGCGAGCGAAGGCTGCAGCAGAAAGCGATCTCGGCGCCAGATAATTGTGTTTGCTTTGGATGCGGAGTTGAAACGTGGCCAGCTCTGGCGGAGGCTCCACGGGGACCGCTCTCCGTGCCCAGGGTGCCCCTTCTCTGGATCCACTTGTTTGCTGAGCTTCGGGAAAGAGCTACAGTCTCCGACATGGCGCAGCATTGACATGTGAAAGTGCTTTCGACGGGCCTGATTTCAAATCGCATTCTTCGGGCAAAGCAGACAAGCGGCCCGGATAACCTGTCAGCTAACGCTTTCAGCTTGTATCAGGCACCACCCGATCCGAATTAAGTCCCCATCTCTCTTTCTTCCTTCCGGATACGAAATGGACGTGCTCACGGTCTCCTCTTAAGAGGAAGGTCTTTGGGGTCTTAACACGTCTCCACCAGGCGCGCTTCACCTCACTAAGCGGCTCCAAACAATTCCCACTGTCTAAATGTCTAAAATGTATTTCCCTGCCCGGGAGGGGAGCAGAAAAACCACACCTTAGTGAGGTTCAGATGCCCCCCAAAACAAGACCCTGAAGCAGCCCGCGGTTCCGTCTGCGTGGACGTGTGAGCATTGGCCTTCCTCGCCAAAGTCGCCAAGACCTGGCGAGAAGTCGCGGAAGGGAACCTCGCGGCGGGACTCCCAGTTTCGAAGTAACCAACCTCAACGCAGCTGAGAAAGTAAACGCCATTGAATTGCTATTAGAATCAAAAGCTTCTCATCTTGAAGGAGCACTCTTACATTTAAATGAGGCTGCGGGAGGATGGGGGGGAGGGGCAGAGGGGAGGCTGATTTTTCATTTCCACCCGTCACTTTATCTCCTTATTAGTATCTCAAGTAGATAAACTTGAGCAGGCAGAAGGCAAAGAGGACGAGATTATATTCAGCTTCAGCTTGAAGAAAGTTTGGGCCGGGGGTGGGGAGGGAAGGGAGGCCCCGTTCCTGTCTCTGTCCTCGTCCTCAAGAGTTCTAAAACTCCGAGTCCTCCTCCGGCTGCGGCGCACAAGCCCCGGGCCAACTTCGCTCGCAAGGCGCTTAGGCCTCCTCCCGCAGCCCCTTCCAGGATCCAAACCGGAGACCCACCCGCTTCCCTCTCTGCTGTGTCTTCCAGCAGGAGCCCCTTCCTCAGAGTTTGTTCCAGCGTTACTAACAAAAGAAAAAGAAAAACGAGAGAGGCTAACTTAATGTTTAACCACAACAAAAGCGTTCCGTTTAATGTGAATTTAAAACAAAACAAAACACAGCAGTCTGATTAAAATTCTTATAAAAGTCTCAAAATCTCCTAGTTTTCTGTTCGGATTTGTACATGTATATTTATATGGATACTTTTTCATTCCGTATGTGTGTATACATACATATATACACACGCGCGCGCGCTCCCCCCCCCTGCCACGGGGAGGGAATTTCCTATCCAATCAGAAACAAACCAAAAATAAAGGCCGGCTTGAATTTATGTCAACAATCACTAAATAGGTTTACCGTTAAATAAAATAAAAGTAGAAGTGCTAATAGTGGCCAGAATTTTATACATGACCATAAATATCTCTGCATAAATGAGAAATAACGTTCTATTTTTAAATTAGGCGCTCCTTGGTTAATATACAGCTGACAACAGCTTCTACGGCACACAAACATACTTTACAAAAACCACAAAAGCGTTCAGTTTTTAATCGTTTTTTATTATTTTTTTAAAATCTGTAGTTGTAGGTAGACAGGACCACTAGCAACGGCGTATTCCCCCCCCTTGTAAACATGGCGCACAAAACGACCAAAATAATGAAAACTGACCCCCGCCCCCAAATAAGGAAACCCCCTCCCCACCCCAGCCTCGGAATCTCGGTCTTGACCCGTCCACACGCGCGCGCGCGCGCACCCTCCTCCCCCAGCCGGACTGATTTGGAATCCTTCTCCTTGGAGTCTCTGTGGCTCTAGAGAGAGTTCACCAAGTCCACTGCTGGGCTTGTACCAAGTGGTGCGCTGAGGGGTACTGGGGGTTGCTGGCCGAGCTGTACTGGGCATTGTATTGCATGTGCTGGAGAGACTGGGCGCTGTAGGCTGAGAAGGGGATCCCCGCCTGGAAGGTGGCGGCAGCCAAGTCCTGTGCCTTGAGCGTGTGGCACGGCTTGCCGTCCCTGACTAAGACGGGCACGGCTACCCGGCGCGGGGAGGGGAGAGGAGTCACTTCCATACCTTTCTCGGCCCGGGCCCGCTTCATCTTGTAGCGATGGTTCTGGAACCAGATCTTCACCTGCGTCGGGGTGAGGCGGATCAGGCTGGCCAGGTGCTCCCTCTCGGGCGCCGACAGGTACCGCTGCTGCCTGAAGCGCCTCTCCAGCTCGTAAGTCTGCGCCTTGGAGAAAAGCACCCGCCGTTTCCGTTTCTTGCCGGAGTCGCCGTTGCTCGAAGTTTCCTTGTCGTTGTCCGGAGACTCGTCCGCCGAAGGCTCCGGAGATTTGGACGCCGAGTCCTGTTGGGAGTTGCTGGATGCCAAGCCGTGCACTGAGGGGAAGCCACAAAAGAAGCAGATCAGAAGAAAGCCGGCCGGCCGGCTAGGCAGACAGGCGAGCAGGATCGGGCAGGATCGCAGGATCCCCCCCCCCTCACCCTCTTGGTGACCCGCCGGGCGCTGCTCCTTCTCAACTTCCCAACCCGGAGAAAGGAAAGTGAGGGGGGTCCTTTGCGACCCGCTCGTTTTGGGACGCCCACCCTCATCCTCAATAAGAAATGAGCCTCTGGGTCTCCAAAGGGAGGTTCACCAAGACTAAACGTACAACAAATTGCAACGGAGAAACCCCAGTCTAGTTCTGCATATATGTGACAGCTAAGTGCCTAACAGCCCTTTGGATTAAGCGTGTGTTGTTGGAAACATCTCTATCTGATGCGTGTTTGTCACAGCCACACATTCTCCTTCCCCATGTCAGGTATAGGCGACTGTGCGTTTTAATCTTCTTTCCCTCTCGGAAAATTACAAACACAAATAGAAAGCACAGAGGCAAAACAAGGTGACTATATATGCCATGTTAATAAATCTGTTAGGAAACACAGTACAGAAATAGTAAGAGATAAGGATTTGTAGATATAGACAGACCATGGTCACCATAAAAATCTTGGCGCAATCCACAGCGGTCTTGCGTAGCTCCCAATCATTTTAATGCAGTCTTGCGCAGGAGAATATCCCGCTGGAGCCCCCCGCCCCCGCTTTTTACAACGTTTGGACTTTGGTCTCTTCCTTTAACAAACAAACAAAACGGACTTCTTCTTTCTGGGCTACGTGGATTGATTTTTAAAGGATAATTCAACAAGCCATTCTTTGATCCAGCACAGCCAATGGGACGGTTTACAAACGTCTAAAGCAAAGCCATCCAAAATTTCCCCACAAAGCATACTCTGTTGGTTAGAGAAGTAGAAAGAAGGATTCAGGGGAAACGGGAGTGTGTGTGTGTGTGTGTGTGTGTGTGTGTGTGTGTGTGTGAAGAAACACGGCTGGGTGGCTGGGAGAATTTTGGAAGGCACATTTTAAAATCTTTTCAGACTGGAGTTTTATTCTTTCTCAAACAAGGATTGAAAGCCATTATTTTGACTCGGTTCAGGTAATTAAAGAACCCAGATCTCCCATTTGTTCCCGTCACTTCCAAGAAGAAGTTAAAACACGCACGACACACAACAGCAAAAGGAGGACTTTGGCGAGGGGAGAGTAGCGGAGGAGAAGCCGCACGGCCTCATCCGGGCTCCTGGCGAGGGCGAGAGACTCACAAAGAGAGGGGTCCCCAGTGTAAATTTGGCTACTTACAGGAATACTGGATGCTCTCGGTGGTGGCGAGCCAACGCGTGTAGGGATTATCGGTATTGTCGTAAAAGGGGTTCTTCAGAGGTAGCGTCTGAACAGTGTCCAAGGCGGTTGTCCCCAAAACCCCGGGCTTTTTGGGGGGTTCCGGCCCCTCCGCCTCTTCGTCGCCCCCTTCCGCGATAGATCCGTCTTCGTCATTGGTGTCAGGCAAGTCCAAGATGTCCTTTACAGAAAAGCCGGTCTTTGTGTTGGTCAGAGACATATTCCGGGCAAATCTGAGGCAGGAAACTTTGAAGGACCAGATTGTCAATCCTCTTGCTTCGCCAAACATACACCGGTTTTGGGGGGGGAGGTGGGGGGGGAGAGAAGAAGGAAGTGGGGGGTGTTGGGTTGGAATAAAAGAGGGGACGCGGTGGCAGCGGCGGAGGAGGCGGAGGAGGGGTGGCGGTGGTGGGAGGAGGAGGGCAAAAATCAGCGGCGGTCTTTCAGCATCTAATATCTGCGCTTTTCGGGCTTGGCTGCTAAGAGCCGCGGAGCACAAGGGGGGCAACTGGCGGGGCTTCCGCAAGACTTTGTAACTCCAGGAAAAATGCCAACGTGCCTTTACTTGAGGGTCTGCTTTAAGCACAGCGCGCTGACGGTGCCTCCTCGAAAAAAACAAGCCATTGCTGAGACGGGCAGTCCATATAAGGTTGGTCTCCGCACATGAACCTGCCGAGAGGAGGGAGAGAGAGAGAGAGAGAGAGAGAGAGAGAAGGGGGGGGGGAGAGAGAAATGCATTAAAAACGCAAAAGGTTGGCCACGTGTGGGCGGGTCTTAGGAGTCAAGTGGATGAAGACAGTGTTTGCAGATGTGAAATTGCGGGGTTTTTTTGGGAGGGGGGATGCGAGCCTCCACCATTGGTGCTGTAGCACATGATGAGTGGTATAAACGTGTCAATTAATTACAAAGATGGGGAGGGCCTTTTCTCCACAGTATTTACATACAAAGGAGCTGCAAGTAGCCAGATATTCCACATACTTGAAAGTACATTTTAACAAATTGCCTCTGGTTTTGTTTTTTTAACCCCCCCCCAACAACCATAACTACCATCTCTAACCCGATTTTGCATTCATTTCCCATTCTCGTTGCTGACATAAAGCTGCCTCTCTCTCTCTCTCTCTCTCTCTCTCTCTCTCTCTCTGTGTGTGTGTCTTCCTTCTTTCCAAGCAAGCTAGAAAAATGACTGTTTTACAGTGGCTTGAGCTAAATCCGCCACTTTTAGAAGAAGAAAGTGCAAAGAAAAGACAGAAATGGGGAATCTATTCAAATAAGTGGTTACCTAAACAAGATGTTGTTGGGATGGCAAGAGCCCAACTTATGTAAACCTCCTAGGTCAATATTTTGGTTGAGGCTTAAGGATGAGTGCTAGAAATTAAACAGCAAGTAATTGATTCCAGTTTGCTCCGAAATCAGCTAAACTGGCAATAAAGAGGGTAATTCAGCTCCTAGATAGAGTCGAACGATTTTTTGGTGTTTTCTTTTTTTACTGTATTTGCACATGACTAATTTATTTCACTCTTCCGTTTTCTGGAGAGATTACTTGTGCGTTTAACAAGGCATACCGCTGTAAAAGCCAGAGCTAGCCTTTTTTTAAAAAACAAAGAAACAAAAACAAAACCAATTCTGTTTTAAACTGGAATTTTTGAGAACCGTCCCCCCCCCGCTTGAGCACGCATTTCAAAGGCATTCTTTAAAAAAGGGAAACCAATGAATTTTACGTCTTTTAAAATAGCACCTAAATTCTCTCATGTATGTGCCCAGAATACGATGCTTCTGCTTATTCAGACAGTATTAAATAGCCTATCTTAGGGACACTGAAAGGACAATAAACCTTGTGGAAGGGAAAATTCCCAGCATTTTCTGTCTTCACTTGAACCAAACTCCCCCCCCCCCCGCTGCTGACTCTCCCCTCCCCCTCCGTTCTTCCCCCCCCCCCACTTGGTTTGGTCCCCAGAGGTTCACGGCTCGTAGCCTTTTCTTGGGACTCTCCCCCCCTCCCCTCCTTTTAAAGAGTGAACTCTCTGTCCCTCGCTCTACGGCTGGAGGCGGAATACAGCAGCATTGTTTATCTCCGAGGGAATCTGGGTGGGGTTGCGGGGGCGGCGGCGATGCGGACGGCAACATTTCGGGCACAGCAGAACTCGGTAGATGGGATCCTCCTGGGGTCTTCAAAGCCGGCTTGGGGGAAGGATGGTTTTCAAAAGGGGAATCAAACAGGACTGCCCCCCACCCAGTAAAAACCGCTTCTCCCCAAAGCCCCCTGACACTTGCGGAGACGATCAAGATGCTATAGTTGTCAGAGTTTCTCAACCGCTTGGAACTGGGACTTGGAAACTGGGAGGCGGTGGTCTGGGTGTGTTTGTGCTGGAGCGTGAGGTGGGCGATCCCCGAAGACCTTCCGAAGCAATTAATGGTGGTTTATCAGTTTATATCTCCCTGTCCCATCCCCCCCCCCGCCTCCCATCTAGTATGTGATGTGGATGACAATGGTTCGGTTTCGGGTTTTTGTTTTTTTTTTATAAAAAAGCTAGTCCCTGAGCGCATCCTGGGTGGTCGGACCGGGGCAAACACAAATACAAACCGATTGCTAAGCTGCGGACAATGGGCGAAATGTAGACAAATGTCCGGCTTCTGTTGGAAGCCTTTGTCCTAGACCAGGTTTTGCATTTATTTCACTGGCGAAATAATACATGATTGACGCCCTCTTTCAATGTGTTCTAACTGTTTGGAATAAATCTGAGGTTGTTCCTAGTTGTCATGGCATTCAACGTCTTTCAATGGACTATCTCTTCATTCATTTCGGAATCTTGCCACAATATTAAGGAAAGCCCCTTCATGTGGATGCGACCGAGCTCCTCTCCTTTTTTTCACTCGACTAAAAATAAAAAATACACATTTTGTATATGTGCGTGCGTGTATCTCTCTGTGTGCGGGGGTCGATTCAAGGAAGCACTAAATTTTAAAATGATACGCATAGTTTTTTACTGCATATACTGAGAAGGGGGGAAAGCGATGAAAAGCCGGCATTTGACATGCATGCAGGAATTATTCAAGTTAATAGTAAACGTGTCTATAAAGTGACCCCCTCGCATTTTAAAACACATGAGCTAACTTGAGATAATGCACTCAAGTAATTTAAGGCAGCAAGGCAATCCAGTGATTATGAAGGGAAGGATTAAGCAGCAAATGTAGTAAATACATGAATTATAAATTTTACTTGGGTGAGATGAGGGGAACCTTCATTGTTCTTCCGGGTTGTTATGTAATTTTTTGAGGTTTGGGCGGGCGTAAGGGGGTGGGGAGTAACCCGTCTCTTTCGATTCAGGCCAAGGCGGCAAGACCCGCAGTTAAAGAACAAGAATTTTCAAAAATGTTAGCAGCACAGTTAACAGCAACAAACCCCACCGAGGACAAGCAAAATACTGTAACTTCCCCTCCAGTTCCAGTTCCCTTCTCTTGAAGACAAAGCTTGTGATGGGGTGGAGAGAGGTGAGGAGGTGGAGACAGAGGACCTACTGCTGCTCTCCTCCTCCTCCCCCTGTGGGCCCTTCCTGCGGTTGGGAAATAGTTTTCCCGCCCTGTGTCGTCCTTGTTCGTGCTTGCTTTTAGGTGAGGGTGGAAGTGCCCACCTGGACCCTTGCCGTGCCTGGACAGCGAACAAAAAGGCAGCGCGTTTTCTTTAAAACCCGGATAAAAGTCTCACTTGTTGAATTGTATCAATAAAGACCTCCCGGCAGAGTTACACTCTGGAGCACACGCTTCCCATGTGATGGGCTCGGGGCAGATTCGCTCCCTCCGGCCACCTGATAAGCAAATATTTTCCTAAGGGAAAATCAGGGCTCCCGCAGAACATTAATCAGCCGCCCTTCGAACGGCGATGACAATAGGCCATTGAGAAGCACACACGCACACACACACACACACACACACACACACACACACACACACACTGAGCGACACAGCTGGACTGTGACCAGCTATTCTCCTTTGTACACAAAAGACCTGCAATAAGTCATAATTTCTATTCCCATCAGCACCACTTCGCCCTCCCCGTTCCGAAATCAATCTATAGAACTTACTTAAAAGTTTGCCTTACATACGGAGTTCCCACAAGAACAAAGGAATCGCTTAGTAGGAAGGAAACCCCCCTTTTTGTTAAATATTTTCACCCCAAAACTTCTCTCTTTCTCCCCTCGGCCCCACGGGAACCTTCGAGTGGAGAGGGAACGTGAGGTGGGGGCGGGGGCCACAGCCCTGGGGGACTTCGCGGGGGGGGGGTTCCTCTCCTATCTTTCCACTTCTGTCTACTGTCTGGTAAGGAGAGAGAGGACATGCTACATTCCGGCCTAAAGGGGTGAAATGCAGCCAGCGTCGCAGAGAAAGATCTCTGCCCAGTCTGTCGCCGGTGGGAAAAGCCACTCGGAGAGACGGAGGCAGGCTAGGGGCCAAGCAGAGGAAAGACGTCCACGACCAGGGCGTCCCAGGTCTGGTTGGATTTGTCCTGAGGGTGCGACAGATTTTTAGCCACTACGGTGAAAGGCCGCTAGACCTTCTGAAATAGGACTTCATATTCCTAGAGATTATTCTTCCCTTTCAAAAGGGGCCTCGACTTTTTCTCTGACCTCCTTTTAGTGGGCCGTAAATGGCCCTCATCAGACCCCCTGCTTGGTCGTTTCCACCAGCCAGTTGCCCAGGCCTTCCTTCTTCTCATGGGCTGGTTTGTCCCACAGATTGGCGTCCCAACCAAGCTATTGGCTTGCGTTATGCAGAAGGGCATTTAGCCTATCTGCCTGTCTGTCTCTCTGTGCTGAGAAGCGGTGCTCTTAAACACCTGCCAGAGAAACCGATCTGGAACGTCAGAATATGGAGATTCTTCTGCAGGCTACATTCGCGTGTTTTGTTCTGTTTCCCTTCACGGTTCCTCGTATGCGAGGTCTAATGGACTGGCCAGGGTGGTTCAGGGTGATGATGACATTAATCGACATTCGTAGGAAGAACTGCATGCAATGAACCGGGGCTCTTGGGACCTTCTTGAAATGCCTCTGCAGATATTACGGAGGGCTGAAATCTGGTTGTAGCATTGTCTCGTTGTTCGCTAGTCGAGAAAACTCCTAGGGAATAGCGTGCCTCAGATGAGCGCTCACTTATTGAACCTCCCTCAACGACAGCAATACAAATAAATCTGGCAATGGAGGTGGGGCAGACCCGCGGTTGTGGCTTCTGGAGACCCAGGGCGAATCGAGTGGCGATTCTGTCCGCCCATCAGTTTGAGACTCCTGGAAGGCTCCTCCACCCAGAGACTACGGAACCCTAAGCCCTGGAATTAAAGGATGGAGGGGGTTATTTGAACAATTGAACAAGAGGCTGAAAAGGAGAGGTGCGTGTACACAGCGTAAGTGCTTGTACTTCAGCACAAGTGCCCTCTAGGAGCGAGGAAGTGTTTACCTGTTTACTTTTACAGGTAGCTCAAACACCAGGCAGCCGCCTGCTCACTGATTTCTGCAGAGGTCTTCACCACCCTTCGAGCTTAGAGGAAGTATTCAGCTTCCGAAAAGGGGATTTAAACAACAGCAACAGCAACAACACACGGGAGCCAACAGTTTGCAGGGCATAAGAGCAGGGAAAGAGGCCCTCTTAGCCACCACACTC